TTTCTGTCATCTATGTTCTTTCTATATGCCCAAATTTTAGTACTTCTCTAGAGACCTTAATGTCAAACCAACCTAATTATATTAGAGTTGTTACAAAGAAACTAAACTGGAAATAATACCTGGTTTTTTGCTTAAGAAAACATGGTTTTATAGGCACTCACCAAGCATTTAATTTTTTTCCGAGTACCTCCTGATACTATTACCATTCACCAACTCAATTGAGTTCTCAAAGATCAAGTACATAGGAGAGCTGCATCAATTTGGAAATAAAGGAGAAATGATTAGTTTTGGAATGACCTTCTCTAGGAAGTCCACACCATTTACCCAGTTGACGCTCAAAGTTGACTTGTACCAGGGCTCTAGGCAAGTCCCACGTTGAACCCATGTTTCTTAACGATATAACTGAAGCTGATTTTAATTGACATAAATTGGTATTATCCCAGCCTATTTTCAACACCCAGTTGACACTCAAAGTTGACTTGTACCAGGTTGAATCCATGTTTCTTAATGATATAACTGAAGCTGATTTTAATTGGCATAAATTGATTGTTATCCCAGCCTATTTTCTTCTTCTTGAATTTTCCTTTCTTCTTTTTATTTAATTTTGGTCAGTAGAACTTAATTTACCCTTACGGCCATACTATGCATGATGCTACAGACAGTGTGTTTGACAATAAAGATAGCTCTGAAAACATTAAGGATTCTTTGTTCAAAATGAGGAATTTGTCAGATGGAACCCAGTCAGCATGATTTCAGTTAGCATCCTAGTATTTCAGAAGACAACAATAGTTCCCTTTTTGAAATAATCTCTTAAATAAAAAATCATTTTAAGCAGGTGTATTGCCCTTAAAAGTTTTTCTGCCTTACCTCCTAAAGTTTTTCAGATTTCTTCAATTGATAATAGAGTTATTCATGAGTTTGCTGTGAATGTGTGTATAAATCTGATTATCCTGGCAATTTCTTCTTTTTGGAACAGGTACCATGTTCCACGGTCTTGGTTTCGGCCATCAGGAAACATTTTGGTGATCTTTGAGGAGAAAGGTGGAAATCCAACTGAGATTAAATTCTCAAAACGACGAGTGACTGATGTTTGTGCTCTCATTTCAGAAGATTTTCCCCCTATTAATCCTGAATCTTGGCATAAGGGTATCAACGGTGGTAGCAAATCCAAAGCAACTGTTGATCTGAAATGYCCTCCCAAAACTGTCATTACCGGCGTAAAGTTTGCAAGCTTTGGAACTCCTACTGGAACATGTGGATCTTACAGCAAGGGTGATTGCCATGATCCTAATTCTTCTTCTGTTGTTGAGAAGGTAAGGAATCAGTAACAGAATACATTGATCATCTTTCAATTCATCACCTTGGTCAGAAATTGCCCTACCATCATACCAAAACCCAATGAGCCCAAAAATCCAAATGTAATGATGTTATAACATCTAAACATTTACTAGTGCACGAATGATGTGGTTCCACCAGTAAAGTTCTTGACGGAATATGTTAGTGGTAGTGTGATTGGAGCAAAGCCCAATATACCAGGACTCTTGGATCAAATGAAGCCCCAAAAGCACTTCTTCTTGCACTTCTTTGTTTTCTTTGTTAAAGTAGGATCCAACGATCAACAAGCCTTGTATAAACCATCCAACCTAACCATGTATTGAGTCTGATTTCTGTATTTCAGATCTTACATATTTTTCAGGAATTTAGTTATTGGACTGGCTCATCTCTAGATTACTAAATTTGTTTGATTGCTATTGCAGATTTGCCTGAACAAAAATGGTTGTACCATAGCGTTATCTGAAGAGAACTTCAATAAAGACTAGTGCCCCAACTTGACAAAGAAGCTTGCTGTGGAAGCAATGTGCAGCTGAAACTCCCTACTCCAGCAGCTGGTTTGATAATTGGTATGTACACGGAATATTTAATAGCCTACTTTTTTTTTGAAGATGTATCGTTTTTTTTTCTCCTGCTTATAATTGTTGCAGGAAATGTTGTTCTTTAGTTATTCTTGTTCATCAAAGTTCCAAATACTCAGATAGGCATGGAACCAACCATGACCAATCAAAATCCTAAAAAACATTTTTGTAATTTATCAATTCAGTGGAGCTGCAAATAAAAGCCTTCATAACTAAAATCGTTTCTTGAATTCTCTCTCTAGTCCTTAACCCCAGCCCCATGTAAATCTGGGGTTTAAAGAAACTCTATACTCTCTACACTGACACCAAGGTTTCTGTTTTCTAAACGGTTCCTTGGTATAGAAATCATCACGTAAGATAAAACATGCATTCTGCTTTTCTCCCTCTGATTTTCAGTGTTAACATGTTCCATAATTGATGATTACATGGATTCCATTTAAAGTTCATGATAGGGGTGTGCCGGTTTTGGATTGGACACTGTCCAAACCAAAATCAATTTGGACAAATTGGACAGACCAGCAAGACAGATTGAATTGGACCTGGTCCATCCATAATGAATTTATATTGGATTGAGTTGGATTGAGCCAATATTTAGTCCATTGATAAAAGAATGTAGGTGTCAATGGACCAGGTTTGGATTAGAATTAATCTACATTAAAACAAATTTGAACAGATTGGACGATCCAGACATTGAATTGGACCACTCCAAAGTGGTCCTAAATATTCATCGGATTGGATTGGACATGATTCATTTGTAATGGATTCACATTGGACTGGATCAGATTGGACAAAATCCAGTCCAATTGGCACCCAGGCTCATTGTATTGGAAGGGAAAAGGATAGAAGAGATTGAATGTCTAATTTGCTGTGTGAATACTATAGGCCAATTACTTGATGCGTGTGTCTGTGTTAATCAGTTAATATATTTAGAAAATATGGTTGAATCCGTTTGATTATATTTAAATCTATTTTGATAGGATTGTAAATTACAACTATTTATTTAAAAATGGAATAAAATAGAAATAAAAAATAAAATGAATTTGACATCATAAAAAAAAAGGCAGGGAGTGGGACTGGATCCCAGCGGAATGAGGAAAACTGTCTCCATTGGCAAGGACAAGAATGGGGATGGGGACTTGGGGAGCAAATCCCATCCCCACCTCACCCTGTGACCATTCCTACGAGTTGGTTACTGGTTAGTTAGGATGTGGATTCAACAAATGCGGGTTGGTTAGGATTAGGCCATACCTCATTTTAACCAAACTCGGCCCAACTTGCATCCTTGGTTCTGAATTTGGTCCGGTTATAAACTAAGCATGTGGACTTTTTTTTATAATAGCAATCAGTCTGATGAGGGTGCAACTTGGGGCAGGTTCTCGTTTGGCATTTATCAAAATTTGAATGGAGCCAATGGGCCTGGCCTGAAAGCCCAAGTCCTAAGCAATGTAAAATGCTAACTTGGGCCAACCCAGGTTGCATCCTTAGTGTTGCCTCATTCCACCATACAACCTGATCAGATAAATATTGAGTGAGCTGGATAATTAACACTTTACAGTCCTATGATTTCTCTTATGGTACTGTTTTTTGGTATGCTTCTCTTATTGTGTAAGGCCCACCTAAACTGGCCATGTTTAAAAAGTTTCCTTTCTTTTTTTTTTTTTTTT